GTCGGTCTTGGCGAAAGGTCTGAAGAATATGGCGGTTGAGGTAGAACTTCAACCCCCAATTCGTTCAATTTATGGATAGTGATTTGTGAAACGTGTGGGCGGGCGTTGTCATGCAAAGGAATCGGACCCTTTCTTTTGATAAGTGTTGGCTGCATCTGACAAAATTTTCGGTACAATTCGTCGATTTCTTCACAGTAGGGTTCTGCTGTGATGGTTTGGCTGTGATAAAAAGTTATAGTGGACCACACCAGCCGATGACGCAGCAAGATCGTCGACGGCAGAATCTTTTCTTTCGTGAGGGTTCGCTTTGAAAAATTATCTCGGTGTCTCAGACGACACTGCCAACACTGTGCGCGGGACGTCTCCTGTTATCATACATGACCCATTTTTCATCACAGGTGACAATTCGGTCCAAAAACAGGTCGTTTCTGCTGCGCAAAAGCAATGCAGAAGGAACCTCGAGACGTGCCGATTCCTGCCGGTCACTCCGATTGTGGGGCACCCAATTGTCGAGTTTTTTCACCTTCCCAATGCGTTCGAGACGCAACGCATCTGGGCAACCAGTGGATTTGCCCAGCGCTACGCCTCTTACTGCGCTTAATGCTCTCTGAACTGTTTTGGGACTGGGTCAGCCTCAAAATCTCGCCCTAAAATCCTGTCAGATATGTGCTTAGCGTCGCCCCGCTATGACGATTCTAATCTGTTAGCTGAATTCCAAAACGAAATTTGTGAGGGGCATTGGCCGCACATGCTGTTCTCCTGGAGCAGCTATTGGCCCTACGACGCTGTTTAATTTATTGAGCGTTTCGAGTTGCGGATTGCCCCAAGTTGTTCATAGTCGAAGGAAAAAAATAAGTACCCAAAGTCATGCTTCTTACATGCTTGCAAAACAACATCTTGAAAAACGGGTTTATCTTAAGCGAATGGGGAATGGCAATTATAATCGCAATCAGTGCAGAAATTCTCTAACAGGATGTGCTACTCGAGAGGCAAGGCGAGAGATGAGTTTTTAAGTCCAGCAGTGAATGTACAAAAAAATAGGTGCACAAAACGCTGAGAACTTTCCGGACATCCTACAACATAGTTCACAGTCAGATAGGTGGACCATGACAAAGGACACTCCACAGATCATTACGAAAGTAAGAAAAAAGCCAGCTAGCAGGCGGAAAAGATACGGAACCGTATCTCCTGTGCCGTGCGTTTACAAAGATTCCGCGGATTTGTGGAAAAGAATGCACACATATTTGAAGAATACGCAGACTTCGCGGAATCCACAGACCCCGCAAAATGTGCGGAAATGAACGAATCGACGAAATCGCCGAAGAAGACGTAACCGATTGTTCACCCCCGCCCTCTGGGCTTTTTTTCAGGTTCCGCGGAACCTGCGGATTTCAGGGAATCTGCGAATTCTTTGAATCGATACGTACACTCTTATTCGCTGCGATATGAAGGGGCGTGTCAGGAAGTATGTTTGTCCCACGGCGCCAAATCCGCTCCCTGCCAGCTGCCAGCTGGGACAACAACTAGTAGAGACGAGTGGTACGAACGATAGGATACAGCCTTGTCACATGCTCGCTTCGACAACTCTTGAAGAATGGGTTTGGTACCGCGTCAACCTCATCCCGCTTGACACGCCCCTTCGCAGCGAACTAGACTATGCGCATTTTTTTCCGTAGATTCCTCGGAATCTCCGCGTACGAACATGGCCTTGAACGTTCAAGGTCAAACAAGCTAAGATGAAAACAGCTGTGTCATTATGTTTACTTGAAACCAGCTGATTGAAATGCCATTGATGGCTAGCGATGCAAACTGCCTAACAATGCCTTGTATGGATTAAAAGGTATCTCTGCGAATTTGCGAGAACAACGGACTATTCAGCTGTCTTCAGATTTCACAGCGAAAGACAAGTTCAAAGACACTTTTTTCCACCTACTCAATTTGGAAATACGTCCTGCATTCAAATAATTGTAGCTTACCTCGACATCGGTAGGGCTTCGAAAGGAAGACGTCTTCCCCGATAAGTGGGCCTCGCGCGCCACCATCGAGACCATCGACAAGTAGATCAGGTTGCATTTGATCTGCAGCTGATCTGCTGATCTGCAGTAATCAGCACCAAGCAGTACCTCGACGTGTCACAACCCAGCTGTAGTTCTGAAAAGTACCCTGGGTAACTTCTGTACTCGTGTGATCTTCACAGAAATCACGATATCACCTATCAAAGATGCTTTCACCTAAGGAACGTTTCCAAATGATGGGCGAATTTCGACTGAACCTATTCTAGAGTCTGATTGTGCTTTTGATCTTATCAGACTAGAGGTTTTCTGTAGTAATACGGTAACCTTGAATCAGCGGAGACCGCAACACCACAAGCGCCAACGTCTCCGCTTGGCGCATTTGGCGCGCGCTGGCGTTTTCTGGGTTTTGTCCTCACGTTACGTTATTGATTTATAAGAGTGTGGGATGGTACTTATGTGCATTAATTCACTTTTGTGGTAGATTCCTTAAAATTGGAGAAATTATAAGCAGGTTCAATGTTCCAGTAAATGGTGTTGGCTTTGAGGGCGTCATATTAACCCGCTTCATGCTGGGACATCCTTTTTTAATTTCCTATACTGTTTCCCTCTAAGAAAATTTATGTCGCTATTACTCGAATTGTTGCAAGTTCATTTCGGGAGGAAATGCAGTGGTAATCTCGAGCCATTTGTCCTTTATACCTTCTTGAATGTTTTCCAGATTAATTGTGTTCACAACGCGTGAGACGTTTCAAGAAAACACAGTCCTGCTGTACTGTTTGCATTTGTTTACTTCTGTTTGCACCCTTTTGTTCAATTCTTAGTTCGGTGCTAGTCGGTACGCTATTCACAGTCTTTTCTGCCCCCTTCAGCGCTTGAAGTAGCAACGCCGCTTGTTTCTGAAATACTGCCAGTAATTCGTTCTTCTCCCTACTTTTTCAAAGCTATCTCAGCTGAAAAGTGTGATATGCAGACGCTCCAAGTTCAAGGGCCATGACGACCTTTGTCAGTGCTAATGCAGTTGGGGGAGGGGGGGAATCAATCACTGGGCCGCGCTTCTGTGTGAGAGCATCCATACTTTTCGTCAGCGTTTTGAGCGACTATCGTATTGTTCGTATCGATCTAGCGTCCACCATCATCTCGAGCATCCGCCAAGGTTCACAGCGTTTTGAGCGCCCATATAAGCTCTATCCCCTCCTGAAAAAGGCTCTTGTTCAGAGCTTATACGACCAAGTCGCTGAGGGGTAGTCTACAGGGATAACATTGTCCCACTAAGCCACCCCCCTCCATGATTACGGAGCACAGGCGGGTTTTCTCTCACCCTCTATATTTGCGCCCCTTTTCCACCATATTTTTTTCTGAGCTCTTCGTGGTTATCTTCTACTAATCACATTCATGGTTTCTCTGATAAAGGTTTTTAAGGTAAAGGATCATGACGTAAGGTCATGATTTCGGGGTAGGTATGGTACACTGACATAAGAGTGGAACAATGGCAACAGGGAAGGAGGAGGCTGAGACGACATTGGTCGATTACTTTGTAGTAGCTGGATACGATCCCGATGTTGGCCTTGTGGTAAGTCTCTTAATTTTCAGAATGGAATCTGCTTGAAAGCTCAGATTTTCTTAAAATCAGTCATTGCTGATTTCTTCAGATTGATTCCACTTCTGAGGACTGTGTGTGGGAAGGAGAAAATGGCTTAATCCCCAATTCTGAAGATCGTCGACCACCCCTGCAGAGGTCCTTCGTAGCCAAAATCTTACACCACTTCCCCCAGAAACGGGCAGGCGCTCCATTTTCCGATGAAGTGCTGTCGGTAGGTCAAATCGTAATGAGCATTGCAGTATTTCTCAAGATTTTTGTTTGAACAGGGTGTTCGTTACTTACTTGATGTTATAGTTATGCATGCCGAAGGGTCTTCGTTTCTACACAGAAAAGGACGTGCCGTTGAACGTCTCCCTTCATACTTTTGCGAATATTCGGGAAGATGGCAGTCGCATCAATGGGACAGTAATAACTTATTACGAGGTTGGGTTTCTAAATTAAATAATTTCTCCTCAACTATTTTTTTCTCTCTCAGGTATCCTATGGCTTGTCTAAAGTTTTTTTTTCACGTGTTCTCGTTCTAAAGGCTGCCACCTGAATAATACTGGGGTTGTTCTTGCAGAAGCTGCCTGGTTTTGTTGACAGCCTTAGCTATTCGTTTTAGTTAAACTTTTGCCGACAACTCGGCAATCTTGTCAACCTTTTGGTTCACTGAGAGCTATATGCTCATGTGCAAAAGTCATCGAACTAGGATGTGAAGGGCGGTTTTAGTAGCACAACGGATAGGGCCGAAAGCGTGAGGTGCGAGTTCGAGTCCAGCTGGGGTCTGACTTTTGCGCATGACTCACCATCAGCATTCTCGTGATAACTTTTGGAGCGGCATCTGTGGCGTTAAGCAGCTATTATCATTGTTATATAAGCTCAATTATCATGTATATTCACCTCAGTCAGTAGCTCCTCAGCGTCTTTCTTCGGTCTTCATGTAACATTGGTAAAGAGTATCTAAGGTCATCTTTATACTTTGTGACGGAAGAACAGGAGAATCGCGGAATCGATGTTTCGGAGAAATACGCGCCAGAGAAGTGGATGGGTATCGATTATCCAGTTGTCCTGTTTTCCCAAAACGCTAGGCTGATGTCGATCAATACTCATTCACTTTTTGACACTAATGTTCTCGTAACGGCAACAGACCGGTACCTATACTTTCATTGCTGCGCATTCTCCTGTTTTCCAATCCTTCGCCTCTTTTTTCTCCGCTCGGGAAGTATAAACGCACACCTTTGCATAAATGAGGTTGCCGCGACCATTATCCTTGTAAAATGGAATAGGCTCGATTCCGTGGCGCATATATCCAGAGAACGGAGGAACGAGAACGAAGAGCCTATATGTCAAGGGAATCTATTAGGTTGTCCCAAAAGTTCTGAGACACTTATTGAATCTCGTATCAGATTTTTCCGCTTTCGAGATCCAGTTATGTGGTCTATGGGAAGTGTGTGAGTAAGCGTTCCCTCCTTCACTTCTCAAACCGTCCTCGCAGTCGCTGTTCTCATATGAAAAACGGTAATTGAAATTCATCATTTTCGACACACTTCGCTATATGAATCGCTACCAAGCCACAACGTGGTTGGAGCCATAAGCGGCATTTCCCTTATTTAGATCTTGATGTTAGCTTCCCACAGTACGGCTTTGGAATGGCTCAATTGCTTCTGCTTTAGTGACTTCTATCCGGGTGAAAAACTTCGTCCAAGGAGGCCACCTGCCTTGGATTTGGACCTACTGTGTTCCTTGATTAAAACCAATTCGTAACGAATCGGGAACTTGCTAACTAGTACTTACACCTCGACTGTCTAAAGCAGCAAAATGAGAGAAGGCCCTCGCTCCCTTAGAAAAGTTCTGAAGTCCGGTCAAAATTTTTCTCATCTTGACCAGAACTCCAAGGGGAGCACATGTGGGTACTGTCTACAACTTCTTTCCCGCTTCCGCTGTACGGGCTGGTTGAACAGCACTGTAACTGGATATGGAGTGGGTGCCTCTAGATGAATCACTCCTGGGAGCGCCAGCGGCTAGATCCCCCTGAAGGGCAGAACCGATCGCGCAAACCCTATCAATCCAGTAGGGCGGTGAGGCTGTGTATGTGGTGGGGTACCTTTCTCCGCTCTCGAAACAGAATTTTTTTTCCGGGTCTCTGAGAATTTTCTCCAGAATGACTAGAGAGTAGTGTGAGTAATGTGCTCAATCCTTTCATACACCTCCGCCCCAGTAGCCACTCAAAATAAGCTATTAATTTCAAGTCGTGTATTGCTGAGGTAATGCGCCCTGTGGTGTTATATCATAGTCGTCTGCTTCGCACAATGAAAGCCGCTAGTTGAGGAAATTCATTGAATCGATACTCCGACAGATGAAGTCTTGAAGGTTTACTTTTTTCCAATCATTTGATAAAGTTTCGCACTTGTAGGAGGTAAAAGATCCTCGTATCTGTGAGGCCATGTCGCTACTGCACACCGAGCATGTGCGAAAGCTAACAGCCGGTGAACCTCCACTTGATCGAGAGCGAACCCATGTACCTCCGGGGACTGTTTCAGGTGAAGCATATGGTGCTTTTTGTCTCATTGCTTTGCACCGTATTTCCTCTGCAGGTGGCACCCACACGTTACCGCGGGGACGAAGAAATAGAACGAAACGTATCTCCTACTACGATGGCGGCGGCCACAACACCTTATTTATGTAGGTTTGACAATCGCTTCATTTGCTTCTCTTTTTTTTGAGAATATTCCAAAAGAAAATACTGAGCATAAGGGTAGCAAAGTATGGCTTTCATGGAACTGTTTAGGAGCAAGGCGCTATGTCTCATCACTCGATTGCCCTTGGTGTATTCGACTACAACGATTCTCAAAGCAATATATGAAGTGCTAGCTAGTGCCTCTCAACCACTTTTGCCACTGGAAAGTTATATCTACTGGATTCTGAACGAAATACCGCTTCCTTCGCCTGGGACCACATTAAAGGTTAACTATACATTATCCGATTTCTCTGATTCTTTTTACCTGCCTCAAAGTGACGTTTTCTAACCTACATAGCGTCATTTGCTTTTCATTTTGAAACTGCTATAAATGCCTCACAGTGTGGTATGAATGCCTTTCAGTGCGTTGATATTTCGCTCTGATAGCGCGGTCTGCGCCGGCAATCACTGGGGCTGGTCACGCACGGTTGACGAAGTTAGCAAAGCCCAACATTGGGATGAACACACACGTGCGCGATCGGCTTACTGATCGCTGGCGCTGATTGCGCGATCGGAAATGTCAAATCGCGGAGTGTAAAAGCACT